TTGAAGCGCACCCGGAAGGCCACAGGCAGCCAGTGCAGCTCGTGCAGGAGAGGTGTTACATGGGAGTATCTAGAGGCCCCCAGGATCCCCCGCGCGGCCGCATTCTGAACTAGCTGGAGCCTCCAGGTGCACCTCAAGGGGAGCCCCATGTAGAGAGCGTTGCAATAGTCCAGGCGGGAAACAACGAGGGCTTGAGTGACCGTGCGTAGAGCGTCACGATCCAGAAAGGGGCGCAACTGACGTATCAGGCGAACCTGATGAAAAGCCCCCCTGGCCACGGCTGTCATATGGTCGTCTAAAGACAGCTGAGTATCCAGGAGGACGCCCAAGTTGCGGGCCCTCTCCGCGGGGGCTAATGACTCGCCCCCAATAGCCAGGGATGGAGCCAACTGGCTATGTCGTGACGCCGGAAACCACAGCCACTTGGTCTTGGACGGGTTGAGTCGAAGCCTGTTCCTCCCCATCCAGACTCGCACGGCCTCCAGGCACCGGGACATCACTTCCGCGGCATCGTTGGTATTTCTGTGCCTGAAAATGTGATAAAATACACTTGCCTGTTCTCAGATGCCTCAGCAATTTTTAATTGTCTGAAGATCTCCATCAATCTCTTGAGAACTGCAGTTTCCTGAATAAGATGCTCTGGAGTGATTTGGGCACTTGCTTGCTATATGGCCTACAGTTCCACAGGTAGCTAGGTGTCCTGGGGCTAGGTGTCCTGAGTTCTACCACGGAAACACAAACCAAAATCTCCCGTTTCTTTGATGCAGACTATTTACTATTCCTATTTGCATGGTTTCCAATCTTGATGTCCAAGGAGGCCATAATAAGGTGGAGTAGGTAAGGTGACCAACTGTCCTCCTTTAGGGAGGACAGACCTCCTTTTGTAAGTTCTGTCCTCCCTCGAAAAGTGTCCTCCTACATGTCCTCCTTTTCAATATTTGAAGACTAATCTGCAGGTCTTTTTTTTTTTCTCATAGAACGCTCAGAACGGTGTTCCGGCACCTTTTTTTGATGGGTTTTTTTCAACTTTTGTATGAGCTGTGCTACTCCCGCTATTGGCTTTCAAAAGCCAATAGGAATTGCTGCTGAGCACGCCAAAACACCCGGCTGGCAAACTTTGCACATGCAAGTTGTCTGTATTATTGTTGCAATGAATAAAATGTTTCTTTTATTTACGATATTTTTTTCTTCAATTTATTTGTGTCCTTTTCATTGTAAAAAAGTTGGTCACCTTAGTAAGGGTGAAGAGAAGTGATACATTTCCCCCCCCTCAACTTCCATAATCACCCACTGATTGATACATATTAGAACAGTTCTTCCATGTCTTGTCTCAATAATTCATCACTCAGTTCATCAGCAAATGCTTCTTGAAACTGGTCATAGCAGGATCATTCCATCCCACATTTCTGGCATAGAATTAAAAATCCAATGGAGATTCATGAAGTCAGCACTTGCTCTGCTTCAGTTTGTGCATCTCTTCATTTGCTATTGCTCTCCTAATCAGATTGTGAGATACAGGTCAATCTTTGCAGGAGGTTTTGGTAATTATCCAGCAAAGTATCACAGCCTTCAATGAGGGACAGTTTTTTTTATTTCAGGAGACTTGGAACAAAGGTCACCCTGGAATGATCTATAGGAAATTCTGCTGGTTGATCTTCCATAAACTATTCTTTCCGGGCTTCTCAGCATCAGCAAACTCCCATAAGAGTGAAGAAATATTAGTTGGGCTGAACTGCTTTTGATTGAAGTAAGCATTGTCACAAATATGCCAACTGAACTATGGCATTGTTCAGAGTTATTTGTATATTCACTTATTAATGTTGTAATAGTGCTTGGTGCTCTCTGAGCTTGGTTGTTTTCTTGCAGAAATTTCATTACTCAAACTAGGTAACATCATCAATGCTAGTCAGAGTGGGTAATGAAACATTTGTAAGAAAACAACCAACTCAGAGAACACCAAGGACCCCTCATTTCAACTCTGAGCTACAAATATTCTCCTTTATTGGTTGCAATATGGCTTCAGTAAGTTGTTCTGCAGATAAAGGGGTGCCCTGAGAATGCCATCCCACAATCCAAGGCAAAGTTTGATGTTTCTCTGAATGTGTGGGGAAGCTTTGAAGATTGATGTCAGTCCCTCAAGATAGGCCAGGTGAGGAAACAAACATCACAAGGACTATTGTTGTACGATATAACAACAGAATGTCAAAAGCTTGAATTTCCCACTAATTTGTCTAATAGTAAAGAGAATCAAGGCAGAGTTATCCTCCAGTTCTTTCTGAGACTCTCTTCTTTCCTAGGGCTAAATATTTAAATAAACGTCCTTGCAGTCCTCCTTCATACGTCTCTACCCTCTGGATTGCCTACTCCAACCTGAATCAGCCTGACCTGCTAGATCATGTACGAAGAAAATCCTTGTAGTCCCATGATTCTGGGATAGGAGGGGAGTTAGAAACCAGGAGACACTGCTTCTCAGTCTTCTCAGTGGTAATTATAGTGCTTTGGAGCAATCTCAGTGTCTTACATTATGTAAGCTGATAAAAAGGCATCAGATTGTAGCAGGATATACATGCAATAAACAAATAAATTAAAATATTACAAGAGACAAAGATGATGTGAAAATATATTGGGGATATGCAATATGATCAAAGGCAGAGCACTGCTCTGAAGGACCATTCTTCAAAGAGTTTCAGCAAAACAAAAAACTGTCGATCTACCAATAGCGGTAGTGTAAGGAAACATTTAAAAATATTTATTTTACAAAATGTACCTCCTGCCAAAGTTGAATTTCGCAATTATTTATATGCTTGATTTCAAGTTAGCCATTCAAAGTGTAAACAGTTTTAATTGGAGGAAGTGTGAATCTTGGCACAGCTATCTTTAGGACTGATTCTCTCTCATGCTGATTGAAAGGAAGTCTTATAGGAAGTTCTCTTCAAGGTTTCTAAAAAGAACTGCTCTTCTTCCAAGAAATCATGATCCTGTTAGAAAAAAACAAAAACAGGAATGAAAATGGAGAAAAGGTTCAAAAGTGAACCAAAAACATGTCAGCTTTATGACCAGAATAGTCTTAAAGTGACAGGTAGGGTAAAGGAATTGAACTTCAAAGTACGTTTGAAACTTAATTTGACTCGAGAAAAAGTCTATTATTAAAATGGACTTTCTCTCAATTTATTTTAATCTACTTTAATTTCGATTTCTCTTGTCATTACAACGTATTGACGTTCTACCCAACGTATATGTAAATTATTTTATTTTTATCGTGTAAAATTATAACCTCAGGACAGATGTTAATATTCTCAATTCATAGTAGACTGAAAGCTGGACAATGTAATCTTACTCGTTCAGCTGTAATTTTGTGCAACACCAGTTTGGCATATAAATCTGCTGGGTCTGGTCTTGGAAATCCTTGAGAAGCTCTGGTGTTTCCAGGGTTGACTTTAGGTGGAACAGTAACTGGAAGAGGCAAATCTGGGAAGAAAAACAAGTTAGATATAGTATTTAGTCATCTGTATCATCTGTACAGATTGTATAGATCAAAGGGGCAATGGAACAATGAAACAAGTTGTGGAATTTGTTTTTATTTTTTTTTTATTTTGCTCTTTGGTTACTTTAAAAAAAAAATGAAGCAACATTTAACTAAATTTTCCCTATTAGCTTA